AGCTGAAGTCAGACGCTTAACTGACTGAGCCACCCAGGTGTCCCAATTGATGTAAGATACCTCTAAGCTCTATTTCTCTAGAACCCAAAATTAATTTGTTATTGAAAAATGCTTACCTAGGGGTCCTTAAAAATAAATGATTAACATCAATTGAGATCATGAATTGTGGGTTGTTTGTTTTCTTTGGATTCATTGCTCAAAATTATTTGCAAGCCTAAAGGAAGATATTCTATGTATAGATTTATAATGAGGTACTTAATTCAGATCACTTAGAAATACTAATAAAATCTTAGGATCTTATTTCCATAACACTTTATGGCAACAATGGACGTTTTTATTCGATTTCTTTTATGTTTTTTATTTAAAAAATGTTTAATGTTTATTTATTTTGGGGGAGGAGGAGCAAAGAGAGAGGGAGACACAGAATTCCAAGCAGCCTCCAGGCTCTGAGCTGTCAGCACAGAGCCCGACTCGGGCCTCGAACCTGTGAACCACATGATCATGACCTGAGCCGATGTTGGCCACTTTAACCGACAGCCACCCAGGCGCTCCTCAGTTCATTTTAAAGATGAGAAGATAGATATTGGAAGGCGTTCAGTGATTTCTCCAAACGCATACATGTTTCGTCAAATTTTGGGAGCACTTTCTTTGTGGAAGGCAGCGAGAAAACCAAAACACAGTCCCTGCCCTCAGGGACCTAACAGTGGAATAGGTGACTACAGAAGTACAGAGGAGTCAAAAAAGTCTGCAGCTGTCACAGTAGATGGAAGACAGTTGAGACACTCTGTTTTTTATTATTATTTTTATTGTTTCTAGAAGTTAGTGATTCATCACTTACATACAACACCCAGTGCTCATCACAATAAGTGCCCTCCTTAATGCCCATCACTCATTTGGCCCATACCTCTGCCCACCTCCCCTCCAGCAACCCTCAGTCGTTCTTTAGTTAAGGGTCTGTTTTATGGTTTGCCCTCTGCCTGCCTCTCTCTCTCTTTCTTTCTGTTTTTTTTTTTTTTGTTTTTTTTTTTGAGAACACTCAATGGGAAGAGGGTGGTCAACCCTACCTGTAAGGGCTAGAGGGGTGGGGAGCACAGCACTGTAGCAGTCAGGCAAGGCTTCATCCCAGAGCTGTGTTTGAGCCGAATCTTGAAACGCGAGTTAGAAAGGGGCTTAGAAGTAAAGAGTAGGAGCAGATGCACAGGGCATGACTTCAGCTGCTGTAGTCCAGCAACTGTATGCGTCCAGGGTGGGTAGGCATGAGGTGCAGGGGGAGTAAGGCAGAGCCAGAGCAGTCAACAGCGGCTCATGTGGAGCCTTCTGTGCCAAGAGGAGCAGCTGATGAGCAAGATCACTTGGGAGCCAGTGCAAAGTTCTAGGCAGGGAAGCGACACTTGAGCAACATGGGAAAGTTCTTTTGATTTTATTCCCGATCCAGAAGTCATTGTGTTTTAATGCTTATTTGTTTGTTTTTGAGAGAGGTAGGAGGTGGAGCAGAGAGAGAGGGGGACGGAGAATCCCAAGCAGGTTCCACACTGTCAGCACAGAGCCTGATGCGAGGCTCGAACTCACGAACTGTGAGATCATGACCTGAGCCGAAGTCGGACACAACCGACTGAGCCACCCACACGCCCCAATGTTTGTTGATGTTTGAGAGAAAGAGAGAGTGGGGGAGGGGCAGAGAGAGAGGGAGACACAGAATCTGAAGCAGGCTCCAGGCTCTGAGCTGTCAGCACAGAATCTGAAGTGGGACTTGAACTCACAAGTGAGATCATAACCTAAGGTAAAGTCAGATGCTCAACCAACCCAGCCACCCAGTCGCCTTGGGTGTTCTTTTTAGAGTAATGAAAATGTCCTGAAATAAGGTAGTGATGATCATTGCACTGCATTGTGAATGTACTAAAAATCACTGAATTATATATGCACTTTAAAATGGTTAAATGATTAATTTTATCTCAACTAAAAAAAAAAATTATTCTTGAGCAGCTCTTTGTGTCTTAGGCCCCAAAAATTAGTTAAATTTTATGTTGAGACTACTTTTCTGGGGTGCTGCTTAACCCAAAAAAAGAATGGAAAGTCTTTTCTCCATAGGAATTTTTTCAGTAGTTTTAAGGATATCTTTTTATTCATGAATTTCTTTTCCAATGTTGGTTCTGGTCAGAGTTCTTAACTAGAGGACCTCATTTATTCTGACTTTGGATTGTTTGGATTCTTTTGTTTGGATCATTTAAATACTTTCTTCCTGTAAAAATTTTTTTGAGGGTCGGCTGGGTGGCTCAGTCCGTAAGCATCTGACTTAGGCTCAGGTCATGATCTTGCGGTTCATGAGTTTGAGCCCCACGTTGGGCTCCGTGCTGACAGCTCACAGCCTGGCGCTTGCTTCAGATTCTGTGTCTCCCTCCCTTTCTGCCCCTTCCCGTCTCACACTCTCTGTCTCTGTCTCCCTCTTTCCAAAAAATAAGTAAACATTAAAAATTTTTTTAAAAAAGACTACCTGAGTTTAATCTTCTAACAATAAATTTTGAAACAGAAAACATTTATAATATCATTTATAGAACAGAAAACATTTATAACGTTTATTTTCCAAAAAAATAATTGACCTCTTGAAAGCCACTGTGGATTTTAGATCCTTATTAGAAATTTATTTTTGCCTAGTGGAATATGAGGAATCCATAAAAATCAATCTATTTTAAAACGATGCAGTTGAAAAAACTTGCTTCTCCCATCTCCTGAACCAAGAACAGTTGTAGGGTGGCATGCACACTGGAACGTAACCACAACAGTGTCCTTGGTTTATCCTGTAGGGTGACACAAAATAGCACGATGGGACTGTGCTCACAGTAATTGCAACCCTTCCTGGGACCAAACCGACACGCCATCCCTTGTGGTGACCTCTTGAGTGTGCTGGCAGGGTCCACCAGAGTTATCTAAACATCGCTCTGTCCGTCTTCGGCCTTTTAAGTCTCAGCCATCCCAGTTGGATGATCATTGGATTTGAAATTTGGGGGCTGGAAACTCCATGAGCTTGCCTTAATAGCCAGCTTTGAAAGTTTGAGGTCAGCCATAATCTTTCATCTTCCTTTTAAACCTTTAGGAAAATAGTATATAATTGATGAGCAACCTTCTTATGAAAGTCCCTTTATAAAAGTAAAAAAAAAAAAATGTGTATGAAATCCTTTCTTAGCTTTCTTATTTCCTCTCTAGCATCTTCAATTTCCTCTAGCTGTTTTTAATCACTGTTCCCTGAAAAGGATGACATTTGGTTGGACCATACTACTACAGTTATGTTTTGTGTGTCCAAGAACTCTTGCTTATTCTATAGATACAGTTTTTTTTAAATCAGATTTTTGGCAGTAAGCATTTCTGGTAACTTTAAGAAGGAAAAAAAAAAAAAGCACCCAAGGGTAAGAATTATTCTGTGGTTTTGAGAGTTTTCCAGTTGGAAACTAGGTGCTGGATAAAGAAAAAGCAGTATGTAATTCCTTGGATAGAGCCTTTTCTATGAGATTAAGATGGATTATTTTGGAAGAGCATTGTTTTCACAGCCAGAAAGTGGCATGATGCCTTCAGGGATGAATTTCAGTGAGGAAAACTGCTATAAACTTAAGAACCGGTGTTCTCCAGAATATGGATGGCTAAGTAGACAAAATGTAGCTTGTGGGGAGTTTTTCCTTTTCATCTTTTGTTTTTGAATTTTTTTCATGTTTATTTTTGAGAGAGAGAGAGACAGAGAGAGAGAAAGACAAAGTATGAGTGTGGGAGGGGCAGAGAGAGAGAGGGAGGCACAGAATTGGAAGCAGGCTCTAGGGTCTGAGCTGTCAGCACAGAGCCTGACCTGGGGCTTGAACTACAGAGCGTGAGATCATGACCTGAGCCAAAGTTAGACACTTAACCAACTGAGCCACCCAGGTGCCCCTTGAATAAAGTTCCTTTATTTAAAAGAATTTTTTTATTTGACAGGGGGAGGGTGGGGGGAAGGAGAGGGGAGGGAGAGAAAGAGAGAGAGAGAGAGAGAGAGGGAGAGAGAGGGAGAACATGAGCTGGGGAAGGGGAGAGAGTAAGAGAGGGAGACAGAGAATCTGAAGCAGGCTCTGAGCTGTCCAGTGCAAAGCCCGATGCAGGGCTCGAACCCATGAGCCATGAAATCATGTCTGGTGTCGAAGTTGGATGCTCAACCAGCTGAGCCACCCAGGCGCCACCCAGAACTAAAGTCTTTTTAGTTCATAGAATGAATGCAGACCTTTTTTGTTTCTTGTTAAGTATAATAATCATATATTCAGATTCTGACTTGTGATACTTAACTGCAGTTGATATTGATAGATTTCATTTTGAGGCTTTTCAGTTTAATTTTTTTTTAAGGTTTTTTTTTTTTTATTTATTTATTTCTAGAGAGAGAGAGAGCGTGAGCAGGGGAGGGTCAGAGAGAGAGGGAGTCACAGACTGAAACAGGCTCCAGGCTCTGAGCTGGCAGTCAGCACAGAGCCCGACGCGGGGCTCGAACCCACGAACCGCGAGATCATGACCTAAGTGAAAGTCGGACGCTTAACCGACTAAGCCACCCAGGCGCCCCGAGGCTTTTCAGTTTTAAGGGACTCCTTGTCAGACTTCCTTTTCAGGTGAGAGTTTATGGAAGGATAGTAATTTTTGGCTAAGTCAATAATACTTTTTCATTCAGTTTTAGTTATTATATAGGTGAGTTAATAGTTTTTTTAAATATTGGAAAATGTTCTTTTTTAATTTTTTCTTGAAGAATGTACTGTACTTCTCTAATATATTTCACTATTATATACTCATCAAATAATGATGTATACCATTATATGTATTGTTTCTATGTGAGATTTTATTTTCCCTTCCATAATCTTAAAAGGACTTTAATTTGGCTTCATACACGAGTTTTTCTTGTTCTGCAGCCCTTTCCTCTAGTCTCCTCTTCCCGGTGGCTGGTGAAAAGAGGTGAATTGACAGCTTATGTGGAAGACACTGTACTCTTCTCAAGAAGGACATCTAAACAGCAAGTCTACTTCTTCCTCTTTAATGACGTGCTCATTATCACCAAGAAGAAGAGGTAAGCCTGTTTGTGAGGTTGCTGGCTGTACTTCCAGTGTTAAGGCTCTGTAATTCACGTGTCTTTTAGGAGCGATCATCCTTTAAAAGCTTGTGATGTTAGCCGTATAGTTTCTACCGGTGGACCCATGAATGAAACCTCGTTTTATTTTCTTTAAATGACACCCAAAGTTAAGACTCAAATCACTGTCAACGTCATCATCCCAGCCAACCTCCATTGAGCTTTTGCAGCATGCAAGCCACTCTTCGGAGCATTTTACACATTTATATCACTGGATTCTCACAACATCCCTGGGGAGGGAGCATTCTTACTCTTCCCCATCAGCTTTTTTCAAACTTCTGCCACAGAACCGTTGTATAAAACAGATCAAAATAGCCCCAGTTCAGAACAAGCTGGGATGCAACTTTAGTGTTTGTAACTTAGTTTAAATGCACTGCTCTTATTGGTTGCTGGTCTAGAAAGTCTCCCTGTGCCTGGGAAAATGACAGCACTACACCAGTACTTCCTTCTGAAGGGACTAAAGTAAATCATTTGGCAGAGAGTTCCTTCTTTCTTTGACTTCTGGTTGTATATTCATGTTCCGTTGTAGGAAGACGTCCAGGAGGTATACTGTACAAATCTTTTTTTTTTTTACACTTTGTTCTAACTATCCCTACTTAAAACACACACCCACCCACTCCCCTCAGCTCTGTCTTTAGGGAACATTCTTCATCAAGCATACTCCATGCATGGAGGATTGTAAAGTATTTTTCTACTGGTCCTTCAAAAATGTTCTATCTTTTCTAGAATATGAACTTAGAGGAAAAAACGTACGTCTGTGGTGTATTTCCACAAAGGAAGACCATGATGGTGGGCTGAATTACTGGCATATAATAGGAGTACGGGCAGTTCATGGGGTCCGGTTCAGATGAGGTGAAGAAGAGAAATCATGATAAGTACATAAAATGTACAGATTTATCATGAGATAGTTAAGTCCTACTTCTGAGTTGCTGACATTTTAGCTTGAAAATTCAAACTAAATGAAAACAGTTTGAGCTTTTCTTTTTGCTCCTTTTAATCAGACTGCATTATGAATTATCTCACTTGCTCCGCTGTCTAGCTGAGGTGAAGACTATGAAGAACCATCATATGACTATGACAAATACATGAAGATGCTGAGAACTGTTTTTCATATTTAGGAAAATAGTGTTTCCATAACTTCAAGAAGAAATGATTTCTCTTACCTGGGGCAGTTTAAATAGTTCCAATAGCTAAGTAAGTTTTTATAAATAAAAATTGGAGAGGGATTATAATTTTGGATTTTTAGGTTTTATTGGTATCCTCTCTGAGATGGCATGTTTTTTGGGCTTTCTTTGAGATATGTTGTTTTTAGGGGAAAGTAGTTATATATGACTCTTCAAATGCCATTCCTCTGGACTTTTAACATCTTCCACCTGTTGAAATATTTGTTCTGTCTCAATGGACCAAAAGCTCTAGCTAAACTTTTCATTTTAATGATAAAATATACATTGACAGTACAAAGCCAATTTTAAATATAAATGTAGCTTTGATAATGATGTCTTCAGTGACTTGATGAAAACATTAAGGGTATTTAAACCAGTATAGTACAAACATTTAAAAAAAATTTTTTTTTTTTTTTTAAAGAAAAAGAGGCAGCTTGGTGGCTCAGTCGGTTGAGTGCCCAACTTCGGCTCAGGTCATGATCTAGCAGTTCATGGGTTTGAGCCCTGCCTCAGGCTCTGTGCTGACAGCTCAGAGCCTGCTTCAGATGCTGTGTCTCCCTCTCTCTCTGCCCCTCCCCTGCTTATGCTCTGTCTCTGTCTGTCAAAAATGAATAAACATATTAAAAAAAAATAAGCCAGTATAATACAACTTTTATTCTTGAACTTGAATAGAACTACCCAATAAAGGCAGACCTTTGAATTTAAGAATTAATGTACTGTTCTACTTAGCAGTGTCCTTTGCCCTCCACAGCAGAGTTTGCCATTACTGCATAAGGAATGTTGCTTTCCTAGCTTTCTCACGTTTATTTGCTCAGGTATGTTCAAACTTGTATTATTAGTAAGTAGAAGAACAAAATCTTCATCACCAGGGAAGAGGCGAACCTTGGTGGCTAACTTTGCCTTTATGCAAGCTGAGATTCCCTTTGCCCTTACCAGTTAGCTCATCATATTTCTAAGGTGCTCTTGATAAGGAGAATAGCTTTGGAGGCTCAAGTTGTTTATGACCCAAATACCTGGTGAGGGTGACAAGCAGACCACAGAGACTTGATAAACAGGCTTGATTAAAAATGTACAGTATGTGCAGCCGTATTTACACTGTTGCTTCAAGGAAGCAAGTGCAAATGCTTCGCATGCCAGACGCAGCAGCCAAGGAGATACGACAGCTTTGAAGAAGGCGGTAATTTAGGCTTGGCTACAAGGTACAGATAAGGATAATTACCTGTGCCAGCTCTGTAGGACCGATGCAGCCACCCACTGCCTAATTGTGATTCCAGGGTTCAGCCAAGGGGCGCAGCTGCTGGGGTTCCAGTGGGTTTCAGCCTCAGGGAGGCTGCTGGCTACCGGGGGAGCCCGCTTGGGAGGGCGGTTACTCTTCCTCCTCTGACCCAGTCTGGCAGATGGTTTATGCTGAGCTCGTTCCACAGCCTGCTAGGTGTGTGGCCGCCTCTGCTTCACGCTGCGCTGTTAGTGCTGGTGCTTGCAGAGCGCTTAGTGACCGTGGAGCTGTCTTCTAGGTCAGGGATTTTCATCTTTTTTAGCATAGCAGAGGAAGTTTATGGGGTGCCTGGGTGGCTTAGTGGGTTAAGCATCCGATTCTTGATTTCGGCTCAGGTCATGATTTTGCGGTTCATGGATTTGAGCCCCACATCCGTCCCTGCGCTGACAGCACGGAGCGTGCTTGGGATTCTCTGTCTCCCTCTCTCTGTGCCCCTCCCCTGCTTGTACTCTCTCTCTCAAAAATAAACAAACATTAAAAACAGAATATCAGAGGAAGTTTAAAGTCTCCATTAACCCTGGGCTGTTTGTAGGTCACTGCATTAGTAGTCTGTTCTACCAGATTTCTGCAGGATACGTGACCAGTTATACTCTTCTGGATGAGAAAGTGAACTCTTTGGTAGTTGAAGCTTTGACTGCAGGGTGTGTGGGTACTTCTAGAGCGGAGTTGTCAAGTTGGCACTGATGAGGCCGGACAGTTCCTTGTCGTGGGGGCTGCTCTGCTTTGTAGGCTGTTTTAACAGCATCCCTGGCCCCTCACTAGTAGCACCGCCTTCCCAGTGGTGACAACCACAAAGGTCTTCAGACATGGTGGTACATCCCTGGGGCACCAAATTGCCCCCAGCGGGGAACTACTGTACCACAGCCATGGCGGATTGTCAGCCAGCACCGCCTTCAGAGTAGTGAATGTGCAAACCTATGAGACCTGATGCAGCAGTGACAAGAATATTGTAAGAAAGCAATGGCTTGCCCTGTTGTACTCACAGATTAATGAATAATAACTTATTTGTGCTTCATAATAACTTATTTATAATGATCCACTACAGTGTATAGACTATACCTGTGAACAACCTTCGGGACCAAGTAACTGTAGTCTCCAGTTTTGAAATGTAAAAGCTGAATCTAAGACCTAAACAGGTTCAAATTCTCATAAGCCTGATTTTGTAAGGTAGTTAACGACCTCATTCTCATTCAGTGCTTTATATCTGGCTTCAGGCTCCCAGTTTCTTCTGAAACAAAATGCCGATTCCCCCTTCTGTTCGTTTTTGTCAGCTGCTGTAGCAAAGTGTCACAAAATGCATGGCCTAAGACCATAGGAATGGATCATGTCACAGTTCTGGGGTCAGTGGTCCAAAATAAAAATACTCGCAGGGCCTTGCTCCCTCTGAAGTCTCTGCATAGAATCCCCCCTCACCTCCTGCAGCTCCTGGTGGCCCTTGCGATTGCTTGGCTTACAATAGTGTAACTTCAGTCTCTGCCTCTGTCTTCATATGGCCTTCTCTCCATGTCTCAGTGTGTCTCGAAATATCTCTTTCCTTATAAGGACACCAGTTACTGGATTTAGGGCCCATTCTGCTCCAGGATGATCTCACACTAACTTGATTATATCTGCAAAGACCTTACTTCTAAATAAGGTCACATGAACAGGTCCCAGGGGCTAGACTTGTCGAGGACACAATTCAACTCTCTACATTGCCCCAGACCATCACCACTGTTGAGTTGTGATTATAATCAGATAATGAATCAATGTGCTATAATGTGTTAAGCCAGTTCTAGAACACACCTTTTTTTTTTTTTTTTTTAAAACATTGGCCAATGATGCCATGTCTCATAATTTTAGAATATCATCAGAGTCACCTGACTTGAGCACTTCTCTTTCGAGGACTCATAGGTTACCTTCATCCACATCTTCTCTCTCAAATCTGTTCCTTGTCCAGAGCTTCTCCCCTCCTTTGTCAAAGCCACCTCCATGCATCAGGTGCTCCTCAATAAATCCAAGAGAGTGCTTTGGCCCCTTGTCTACATTGTGCTCCCCTGTCCAGCCAACACTGACCTCTTAAGCAGCCCATGAAATTGCTTTTCTCCTCTCACACGGCTACTGCCTTGTGGAGCCATCTTGAATTCGCCTGTGAGATACACCTAACTGGAGTGATACCACATCCTCCGTCCACAGTCAGAGTGTGCTTCTTATTTTTTCATTTATTTTTTTATAGACTACATGGTTTTTAAAAGACATGTACTCAGTTCAGCCCTTGCAGATGGCCCCTCTATGGCCTTACCTTCTACTTAGCCTCACTGATCTACCTTTCTAGCCAACAGGACCTGGCACGTGTTTCTTTCTTTGCCTGAATTATCTCCTGCCCCACTGATCCACTCCACCCAAGCCTTTTCTAGGCAAATCCCTTTTTATTCTTTAGGTCTTCAGTTAATTGTCACAGCCCCTAGGAGTTCTGATCCAGTCCTCTGGAGTGGGTTCAGTTCTGCTGCTTTATAGTCCCATAA